TACCTATAGTGAAGATACTTAGTTGGTAACGATTTCCAGAATGGATGATTCACCTTAAGACTTAGTCTGACTTTGGAGAAGTTGCACTCTCTTAAATAAGCAGCCTACACTTGAAGCCTGGCATTATCTAAAAAAGATTGGATCATCAATCCTGTGTTTAAAAATATTGAAACAAACTCTAGCCAATAGGTTCCATCTGCTTTCCCAAATGGTGACAATTCAGGTCCATGGTCTTAAATAAGATGAACTATCAGGAGGAGATAGAGACACAGTACTCTGATGGATAATTCGATTTGTGATTGGATCTTACTGAAAAGTTTACAAATTTGAGACTGAAAGATGTAGAAAATAATTGATGCATTTAAAATAGTTCTTATAGATAGGTTGCACTTGGATTAAGGATCCTAACGATTCTCTTCGATTCTGTATTCGATTCTCAAGTTTATATTAAATTTAATAGGTGGGGTATACCCCACCATCATTTTTAATAGTGTTCCGAACCTCATACGATTCTGTTCGATTCTATTCGATTCCAATTTTTGGAACCATAACCTGGATAGTATACTTGTGGGTGAATTCTAATTGTAATAATTTAAGTATGAATAGAAATATATATAATGTATGTTATTCACAGCAAATTTAATAAATTAGAGTAAAGCCTACTCGCATTAAAAAAAAAATATATATATATATATATTGTTCTACAATATTTACAAATAGCTTTTTTATCATTTTTAAAATTTGAACTTTTTATAAAATGTTTCTATACTTTGCTTCTAAAAATTATTAAAGTAATTGGAATAGTTTCTGATAAATTACTTGTATATATATTGTTATTGTCATTATTATCATAACTTGTTAAATTATTACTTTCTTTATATAAATATTATATGTTATTGGATAAATTTTCATATTTCATTTTTAAAAAATATTTAAATTGTTAGAAAACAAGCTGTATTAATTAAAGCAATTAAATATAAAGCTATAATATTAAAAAAAATTTAAAAAAATTTTTTTAATATATAAAACTCATCAAAAATTTAAAAATTTTTTTTTAAATTGTTAAAAAATTTGTAAAAGTTTAAATATATTGTAACAGTTTAAACAATAAGTTGTATTCAAATCAAAATAAAATTACAAGTTTTAGAAGAGATAATTATTTTATTAACTCAAAAACAAAAATATAATTTAGGTTACTACAAAGGTAAAAAGTTTTTCTTTAAATAATTATTTTTTATTATATAAATAATCTATAAAAATACATAAATAGAAATATATATTATTAATACATAAGTTCTTATTGATTCTTTCAGAAGGTCTTATGTACCATAAATGTAAAATAAAAGAAGAAGAATATAATAAATGTTATGCATGCTTAATAATAATATTCTGTTTCCCAAATAAATATAAAGATAATAAACAATAATTAATACTAAATAATTAATAATATTTCAAAAAGTTTCATGATATTCCAGAATATTTCACAAGGTTTCAAGAAGTTCCAGAATGTTTTACAGTATTTCAAGATATTTCAGGATGTCCTAGGGGTTTTTAGTCACACAGAATGTGGCGCAGTAAAACAAAAAAATTGTTACAAAATTATTGAAAGGATAGAGTGAACAGATTAAAAATTTTTTTATATAATCTTTTATACATTAATTAAAAAAAGCAAGTTTTTTATTTTAATTTTCTAGTTAGTTCTATTTAAATAAAACTAAATAGCTATTTAATAATTTATATAGGCTAAGCTATATCTAATCTGAATTTGATTCATATCCAATCAGATTTAAAAATTTAAAATTTGATTTGATTCAAATCTGATTGGATTAAAAATTTTAAAATTCAATTTAATTTGATTTGTATCTAATTCATGGATTATTCAAATTTAGATAAAAACTATGATTTCTATAATTTAATATCAAAAACATTATTTTGATAAATATAAATTATATATATATATAAATGTTTTTATGAGTAAATTGTTTTTTTTTTCTTTCATATCATCTCGCTTTTCTAAACCATCCAACAACCATAATTCTCAAGCTAAAACCCAACCAACCATTACCTCTCTTAAAGAAATTATAATTGACCTACCTAACATAGTTGCTAATACATTTATTCAATATAAATATAATTATTTCAAATGTATTCAGAAATTAATATCTTTATTACCCAACACCTTTTCCCTTAATACTGAGTAGGTATTTATAGCTGCTCAGTACATTTTAACAAGATATATTGTTTTAAATTTTCTTTTCAATATTAATCAAATGGTTACTATAGGCAAGTTAGTATTTAACTTATTTTACTTGCATATGAGAGATATTGTTTCTTTTACAATATATATCTTGATATATACAAACCAAATAAAAAAATGATGTTTACCTACAAAAAAAAAAATAATAATAATAAAATAAATTGTTTTTTTTTCTTGTTTCAAGATTTTTTAAAATATATTTATTGTAATAAATAATAGATCAATATGTATATAGTTAAAATAATTATAATTATATTTTTTATATTTAAATATTAAATATATAATTAATGTTACTTTTTTAATAAAAATAATAAAATATGTTTTATTTTAACAAAATAATAATAATTTTTAAAAACAATTATACTATATATATATTATAATTGATTTATGATAATATCTTTATATAAAACATTTAATTTTACTATTTAAACTGACTTTGGTTAACTAAGTAAATATATTTATAACATTTAATTTTGCTATCAAAATTGACTTTAATCAACTAAATAAATATATTTATTATTTAAATTTATATATTGTAATACAACTTTATTAAATTAAAAAAAAATATTTATTATAGATAAAATTCATTATAACCAATAGTTTTACTTAATTTATTAAGGACAACCTGCATAATAAAATAAAAAACTTTTACAAGAAATTATAATTATAAAAATTTTGAAATTTAACTTTTTGTTAATAGCAAATTTATTTATAAAATTCAATATATGAGTAATATAAAACATAACAAATAAGATTTATTAATTATATATTATTTGTTAAAACACTAGTTTTAGAAACAATATAAATATTAAAATTATATTAAAAATCAAAAAAGTCATCACACAAAATATAAACTTTAAATTTAATAATAAAATGTTGTTAAATATTTTCACTATATATATATTTAGTTGTCCATATTATACTTACTTTATATACAAAAGTATATACTTAATACAAATAAAAAGTTTAATATGTAATAATACTTACTCACCTTTATGCTGAGCTCTTTAGCACGGCATATACTATCTTTGTAATGACTAGATTTTGTAAGAGGAAAAATTAATATCGATTTGGTCATGTGATCGATGATCGTCCCCCTGGAAAATTTTTGGATTTTTTCGAAACCCTGTACCTGATTTTCTTTAATCAAGTAAACCGGGACCCGGAAAATTTTTGATGATCGTAACTATCAACATATATAGATTATTTGTACACAGTTTCTTTTATCAAGAGTTGACGATAATTATGGAAATAACCCAATGTGTAAATCTTCGTAAGCTTATGTGAAATATCCAATTCCAAATAGACAAATTCTTTTACTTTCTTCGCGGCCCATTCTCCACGGAAGAGAGAATTGTTTTTCGGCAGCGAAAGGAGAAATCTGAAAATATTATTCTTCCCATCTTTCTGTTACTCAGTGATTCATTATACGCAGGTTGCCGATCAATATGTTATTAGTGACAGTATAATTTGTCACGAATATCATGCACATTTAACAAGGAAAAAATCCAAATTCCATTCGGAAATACGTAGAATAATGATTCAATAAAAGATCGCTTTCTTAAGAAAAAAAGATGCATAATTACTCGGGTGATCTTCCTTTGGTTTATGCTTCCCATGTGTTAATTTGAAGTCCTTGAACATGACATTGAATTTTGGCTACCCCGCACTTATGTATCCTGAATTTGCATGCGTGCGAATGTTGCCTGATTTGTAATAACCCAAATATGCTAAATACATTGTACGTACGTTACATACCCTTACTCCTAATATTATCAGGTCAGTGCTATGTTTATATTATATACTGTATTTCCCGAAAACTTAAAGTAAAAAATGTAATTACATCTCGGTTATTATATGTGTACGTGCAATATCACAAAATTCTCGTTAATACGATTTGTCCGTACCTGCTATAATTACATAATCTACCCGATTACGACTACTTAAATATGTTGAGTTAACTACGCGTCTAACGTATAAACATGATGTAATATTTTTGTTGCTTGTTGGTACACGAATTGAATGTTAATAATACGGATAATTCACTGTGAAAATGTGTTTTTTTTATATTGCTACTCACTGAGTTATCATTATCAGTTATGAATGCGAATCTTTCTTTTCGTACGCCTAACCGGCCGGTATCATGATATCAACATACATGTTCATTATTCATTTTTATCTTTAATTTAAACTTCTAACATTAATCAAATTTTCGGTATGATTTGTTTTCTTGCATTCTTACGCCATTTCCCAGATTCGAATATTTCAATGTATGCTGTAATAGTGTGACAATAGAAAAATATGCCAATGGGTTTTCATAGGAATATATACAATATATGTGATAACCCAAGGTCAACGGAATGAATGCAGATATACATATGTACGAATAAGGATACACCTATTATAAAAAAAATCCGGATTTGTTTTCCGGAAGGATTTGTCAGGTGTTACACGACAAGTTGCAGCTTAGTTAACACTTCCTTATATGGAGATCTCTATCTGTCTTTGATTAATTACTAAAAAGCTTTGTAAAAGAGTCTTGTATATCCGAATATATATATAGAAAGTGCATCACTTTATCCACTAAAAGAACGTTCGTTATATATTAAAAGGAATAAAAAGTATAAATATATATTTACGTTCTTATTCTTCTAATGAAAAAAAATGGTTGATTGCCCTTGAAATCTGCATTCGTTTATTAAATAATACTATCTAAAATTTTCTTTCTTTAAAAAAAAAAAAAATGAAAAGCATTACATATTATAAATTAGACGGAGGCGGAGTTGGTACTAGTTTATCAAATGTACCCAACAGAAAAAAAGGCAAAAAAAAACCCCCCAAAACCCCGAAAACAGTGAACGATCTGACGGAACGACAATTAAACCTTTATCTAGCATTCAACTGGCCTGCATTTTGGACGAAAAAAAGAGATATGCCTTCTATCCAGACCCCTAAAAATGGAAAGATACCACGTTGTCAAAATGCTTTCATGTTGATGAAGACAGAAGTGAGAAAGGAAGCGCGAAATTTCTTAAGTCTGACGAGAAAATTCGATGGAGTTGATATAAGTGTGGTTAGTGGTGTTGCCTGGTCAAACAGTACTAAAGAACAACAAGAAGTATTCCATAAAATGTTCAAGGAATTAAGTGAAAAACACAAAAAGACATACCCTGACCAACCTTATCACACTCATAAGCAGCCCAAGTGGAACAATGTGTCCGAAGAATATTTTTCGGCGAATAAAAAGAGTCCCCGAAAACAATTCGATAAAGGCGAAAATAAATTACCTAACGGTTCATCACCTATTATTAATTCCGGTGACCTAATTCAAGAAATTACACATGACTCGTACAATCCTAATAATCCTAATGAATTCTTCCCCACGGAACCCACGGATTCATCTTTTGGTAAATTCTTGTCCATGGACTTATATTACAATACTATGAACGAAGATACCTCAGTGCAAGATGAGATGATATCCGGTTTTCAATGTGATGGTAAGAATTGTTGGTGTGGAAAATGCATGTTTTCCTTCAATGACTTGATGTACTACTAGTTGTACCTATTTCTATCGGTATAACTGGGTGATTTAAGGATTAATATTTTCATAGCTACTAATTGTATGAAGCCATGATTAAAAATCAAAAGCGAATAATTTTGTATGACTTATTCAACTTATGTAATTTTTGTTTTCTTTTTCTTATGTAAATTAAGCATTTATATACTACATATGTACTGTATGCGTAAGATATTTATTATAAAGAGTATGTAATCGCAAAACCGTTCTTTGCATTTCACGTGATAAGTATATCTTGTATGTATATTTAATATTATAACATTCTGGGCAAATATAAAGTCATGTTTATCTTAATACATATTGATAAAAAATATGATATATTCATATTCAGATAACCAGCACTGATAAAAAAAATCCTTTTATTGAAAATAAGTTTTGAGCAAATTGCACAAAAAAAGAAATATTATTATAACAATAAGGCAATTTTATTAATAAATATAAGATCAAACCATGACCTGTGGATCCATAGTATAGTAATTAACACTCTATAGGTCAAATCACAAGATACTAGTTCAATCTTATGTGAGAGCAGTTAAATAGAATTAATATGATATCTGGTGTCATAATTTGTAAAAGTATTGTTTTTTATGAGAAGCTATTTTATATGCTAATTCAGTGAATATTGAAATTGTGATTTCTAAAAAAGATATTATAGTATGACAATTATCCAATTGATATTATGATAATTGCCAGAAGTTGCAAGGTATATGAGGTGTTCATTTTCGACAAGCAGGTTTGATAATCACTTTCTTAATATCTGGTGTCTTTTTGCAGATTCCTGCCCTAGTCTTATTTCAATCTAGTAATAAACTAGTCTAGTAGTGCTTATCATGAGAAGATATCTGACAGTAAGGCCTGCTCTGTGCAAAGTTATATAAGTTGCTGTTTAGGCAGTAAGAATCAGTTATAAATCTATCTTAAATATTCTTAAGTATTATTTAGGTAGGTAAGGATGGATCCCTAAACTATTTAGTATATAAAATTTCGCAAATCAATTATGTTTCTTTTGAAGGGACATAATTAATTATTTATTATTTTAATAGGAACATAATTCAAAAAACATTTGAATCAAGTGTCCTAAATTGCAAAAAACCTTTGTAGATAGTTTTTTTTTTGATCTTATATTTTAAAAAAAACTTTTTTAATAGTGAGAAACATTTGAATTATGTCTTCGCCTTTAATTTAGGAACCCATCTTTATAGGTAGGTAAAAAATTAAATGGTTAGTCTAACTATAAGTGATAGTAAAGAAATTTATTCCTAATAGAACAA